AAAATAATGGTTGATAAAAATACACATTAACTTTATTAGGTTCAAAATGCTATAAGAATTTATGAGCTTATTAAATAAATTTGATATTTTCTCTAGCATATTAAGCAAATTTTATTGTTGGTTGACATTCGCAATAAAAATTAGAATGACATTTGTCACAGCGTGTATCAGCCAAATGGAATAAATTCGATAATAGCTAGGTAAATGGTATGACGTGTTTCAAAAAACAGTCGAACTCGTCAATTGATATTTTTAGTTGCGCATTTTTTTCAATAAAAACTTTTTGAACAGGGTTTGTCATGTAGCAGTGACAAATGCCAACTGTCCTATACCTATTTTCAACTGTTTCGGAAATATTAAAAAACTAACAATAAAGAACGATAATTACACAGTGCAACAGCAAAAAAAATGATGGGGTTCTGAAAATGGTTTTCGTTTTTTCTATCCAAAGAATGCCTTTTTGCATTTACATAATGTTTAGATTGATTCAGGTTTTTTTTTAATATCGATTTTAAGTTTTATTAATTTTGGAACCCGAAAACCGTTATTTATTAATTTAAACCAAAACAAAAAACACTGATGGGGTTCTGAAAGTGGTTTTCATTTCTCCTATACAAAGAATGCCCTTTTCCGTTTACAAAATGTTTAGATTGATTCAGGTGTTTTTTTAATATCGATTTTAAGTTTTATTAATTTTGGAACCCGAAAAACCGTTATTTATTAATTTAAACCAATTAAAAAGAAATAATAAAACAAAAAATTAAAAATGTGGGTAAACATGTCACTAAAAGTGTTCGAAAATCAGCTGTCCGCCGAATCAGAAGAGCATCAAACAATAATGGAAAATGGAAAAAATAGAGGAAAGAGGTTTGATTCGATGTTGGCAGATTTTTGTTGGTCTATGCAATGGAAATTTTGGCATAAAATTATAAATAAAATGTGTTATATCTTTTATGTTGATTTATTCTTTTTGTTAAAAAGAATATGTTTTTAATAATTAATATAATAAAAATAATTACCATAATTAATATTATGGTAGAAAGAATTAAGAAATTGCACTACAACAAATAAAATCCAGAAAAAGGTTAAATTTAAAAAAAATGCATTTTATTGTTCTCATTATTTTTTTATTTAAATATTTTTTTTTATTTGATTTTATAAAACAATATACAAAACCAATAATTATCTTTTATGTATTAATTATTATTTTACGATATTTCGGGATCCAGAATTACTAAAACTTTAAATTGATATTAAAAAAACCAGAATCAATCTAAACATTCTGTAAACGCTATAATTTATTATTTTGATTGTAGAAACCGAAAATACTTTTAGAACCCCATCATCTTACTTTTTTCCGAACATGTTGCACAGTGTTATTTGATTACAGACATTGGCTATAACACAATAAAAAACTAATAAGAAATACTGTATATTTCTTGATAAGTTAATAAACAAAAAAAATTAATGAGAATGTGGATGTTCAAAATGCTCGCCGTGGACGACTTGGCAACATCCTAATTCTAAATGGAAATTACTTCTAACATTACTCAACATCTTAGACGTGATCGATCGAATCGCCTTCTTAAGTCGAACGGTTTTGTATACAAAACTTTTGACATATCCCTATAGAAAAAAGTATAATGACGTCAAATCAGGGGATCGTGCTGGCCACTACATCGATCCTCGTCTTCCTATCCTTCGATTTGGATAATAATAATAATAATTTATTTATATGCCAATAGAATCATATACAATGACATAAGCATGGTCAGGAAAATAACAAAATTGTGAGATAAAACACTCTAGAGAAAACTAACTTAAGTCAATTGACACATTTTAAAATGAAATATAGTAAATTTACAAAATATGAAGAAGTAAACACATTAACGTAAAAATAACCAGTAAATTAATAAAAATTAGATTGATGTATAAATAAAAATAGGTACAAAACAATTGGAGACAAAAAGTTATAATTGCACAAATAGAAAAACAGACAATATATATATTAGAATTTAAATTGTATAGTTATAGGTAGACGATTAAAATGGACATTGTAAAAAGTCATTTAGAGAGTAAAAACAGTAGTGTAAAAGGAAATGTTTTACAGTATGTTTAAAATTTGTTATAGACTGTATCTACTTAATATCATTGGGCAACTTATTCGAAACCACTATACACCTGTACAAAATTTATTTGTGAAATATCTCAGACCTATGTAATATTACATATGGAACTCTTAACAGTGTATCGCCTATCGTATTCATGTTATCAAACACTTCCATGTTTCTTGTAAACAGTCCTGGTTTTTTTATTTTTATATATTTTTATAGTAATAACATAACATAAGTGGTTCTAATAACATAACATAAGTGGTTCTGCACTAATGCAAGAATTTTAAGAAATCATACATTTTGAATATTAGAGCTTCACGGAAGATAGCTTCACGGTGGTTAGGATTTCATATGTTTTTTAAAACATCCCTTTGTATATTTGAAATAAGTTATTGTATCTTTTGACACTTCAATATTTTTAAAAAATACAATTGTACACACATAAAATATTTATAAAAAAATCTACTTACACTTCACGGTGGATAGGTTTTTAAAAAGCAAATTAATAAACTTTTGAATTATAAAACAGCAACACTTTTATCTGCATATAAATTCTAACTGACCTTCAGGAATCACATGCATCTGTAATGTCGTAAACAGAGGTTTTTGCTTATTTAAAATGATTAAAGCGCCATCCGTTTCATAAAATTTAAAGCAAAAACAGATTCATGGAGGATACAATCAATTTTTGTAACACCTACATAAGTGGTTATAAAAATTATTTGTTTTAATTTTTAATAATATTTTATATTTAATTCGATTGTTTTGGATGTGTTTAATTTACTTAGTGAACTGATATTTTTAGTATGCTTTTACTACCTCAGCTAGAAAGAGTAACAGTCACGGGGGATAGGTTTTAGACTTTTAAAACATTGTAAAAAATAATTAATTGCTGTTAAAAATCTGTAACCTGAGCTGTAATATCTACTTAATTATGAAAGATCAGAACACAATTAAAGTGTGGGTCAAACTCATTTAGTTTTATTAAATATCACGGGGTAACACCATCCGGGGACATTTCGGGAGATTCACCCATATATATTTATAGACATTATAGACAACTATAAACATAAAAGGCATTTATTAAATAAGCGCCATTATCCTGTAGTATTATATTGTTACTTTCAGAAAAGTTGCGTGTTTGCTATTTTAAGTTCATTTATAATTATGTATATACTTTTTGTAAGTTCTTTTTTTACTTAGATATAATTGCTTGTTTTGTTCAGTATCTGTATTTATATAAATCCAGTAAAGGTTTTTTTTATATATTGTGACCAATTTTTGATTTCGTTTGAGACTAACCTTTTTTAGTTTTATTTACTACGTATTGTTCTTAAAGGAAATGATATTTCAAAATGATGTAAAAATTTGTAATAGAAAGTCTCAAAACAGTGATTTGGCATTGTATGTACAACGATTTTCACATAATGTTAATTTTTTAATATATGCGACACAGTTGAAGATATAGGTATAGGACTTTGTACATAAAATATGTCTACAATTTTTAGAAGAATTAAAAAAATATAATAATATACAGGATGTTGCATTTGCAATAAGAAAGTTGGTATTGGCAACTGCTATATACATGACACACCCTGTACAAAAAGTTTTTGTTAAAAAATGCCCAATTAAAAATACCAATCGACGTGTCCGAGAAGTTTATGAAGTACCATCCTAATGTATTATCGATTTTATTCCATTTGGCTGATAAACACTATAAATAGCGAATCGTGTGCTAGAATGTATTGTTATTAGCACCAAAAGTGCGTGCAAAATTTCAGTAGTTTAAAATCTTACTTTTTTTAAAGAGCGACATTTTTGATTTTTTTGAAAAAAATATATGTTATACTAGACTGTAAAACAAATTTTTTAGACCCATAATGAAAGTGGGATTCAAATATCTTCGATTTTTTAAGCCACTTTTTAGTATTCCTAAAATTTTTTAATTTTTATGAGTTTTATTAAAGTTGTCTACCAAAATATCATAAATTCACTTTTAATATTGGAACAAAAAATAATTTTGCAATGCTTGATAAATAAATTTGCGCTTATTCTTTTAATTTTTATAATAGTCATAATATTTTAACTTTTTTCTGGCGCTTTGTTATAAATTTTTGTATTATTTTTATTTTTTGTATTTCTTCCGTACTTACATCGATTGTGATTGTGATAATATACTTGCAAACAGCCGATTTTAAAACGCAGGCTATTCTTAAACCAACGATCAATTCGACAAAGAGGACAAGAAATCAAAGATAATAAAATAATTCAACTAAATTTTTTGTGTACAATATAAAATGCCGTAGATTAAAACAATAAAAAAATCTTTTATGGTCATAAAATAGAAAAACTTTCACTTATTCCCTCAATTATTTATATTTCACAGTATAAGATATATTTTTTCAAAAAAATAAAAAATGTCGCCCTTCAAAAAAAGTCAAAATTTAAGAGATAAGAGTGAAGAAAAAACAGTAAAAAAATTTGGTTTTTATATATTTTTTTTAAAACTACATTTCAAAACGAAGAAAATGAGGTTACGATAATTTAAGCAGGAGTTATGAATTTCTGAAAATTACCGTATCGTTATTTTTTGCGATTTTCAAAAATTCATATATTCGGGGCTTTTGAAAATTTAGGACTCAAAATTTAGGGTTAGGCGTCTTTTGATACGTACAAAAACATATCAAAAATTTAACTGAATCAAAAAATACAATTTTTAAAATTTGTTGATTTGATATGGAATGACCCATATAAACTATAGTGTTCGCTTGGCATTAAATCTCCCATGCTTTCCCCTGACTCGGTAAACAGAAGGCGAAAGGTGTGTTTTTATTATGTTTAGGAATTTATTTCCTATTTTATTAAACATTTTATTGTTCTTTGCAGGTCTTTACGATGCGCCCGCATTCTCATCCACATGAATTTATTCACCTCCTTCGCAGTTAATAGCTTTTTGTGGCTCGTTTGGAATTCACTGTTGCTAAATGAGCCCGAAATACTACAAAACAACTCGGTAAGTTTGCTGATCAGGATATGATTTACGACTTATCCTGCCTTATTTTACCTTTGATATTTTTGAGGAAGTTAACCACTAGATATCTCGTGATTTATTTCCGAATTATGCATTGTAGGGGTACAAAACTTTTCATAACCTTTTAACCTCTTTTATGTAAAAAAAAAGCAACGCTTTGATTTCTGGTTTTTAGTATTTAAAAAAATCTGCTTTGGGGTATTTACTCGACCCAATTATAAAAAAATAAATGAAACCATTCAGACGTAACAGCAAAACAATTTACATAATACACACATACCTGAAGGGATTAATTTATTGTACATATCACAATCTGAAATTTGCAGGTTTCCTTCCAGGTGTAAATCAGTTGAAAGCAGCTTAATCTTTGAGAGCAGCTGCAGCTAACAGACCTTGCAGTTTCGATTTTAGTCGTAAATATTTAATAATTAAAAAGTTTGAAATAGACTTTTATAAATTTATGAGGCATTTGCTATAAATGTTTATGGGGCGGGCATTCCACGTCGAATCAGAGCAATTTTGCTTTTACGTCTTGCGTGTTTGAAAAAATGTTTTTCTTAAATATTGAAAACAATTGAATTGGTGAGATTAAGAAGTCCAAAATTTAAAATGTTGACAAAATATTTAAAAAAAAATCAGTTTTATAGTTTTAAATGCATTTTTGTGATAATATTTTATTTATTTTATAAAATATATTATTCATATTCTGTAAAATGTTTTGTATCCTCTCACAAAAATGTATTTTAAACTTTAAAATTGATTTTTGGACCTGTACTGTACTTTTACAACAATATATCTGGGATTTTTAAGGGCCATATTCATCCACTGATTTAAGTTGAAACCAGTTTGACAACATCGCAAATTTTAAATGTTTTGTAGGTTATAATAATAATAATAATAAGTCTTCAATTAAAACAAGTATCCAAAAAAGTTTACAAAACGAGTTGCATACTTTTTCTACGACGAACACAAGAAAGATTTTAAAGCGAATTTTATTTCTTAAAAATTTGCCATCTGTCAACTGTCAACGGATTTAACCTCACTTTTCCCCGATTTATAATAAAGCTAACTTCAGCCCGTGACCAAAACTTCATCAGGTCACATCTTGTCCATGTTGAAGTAAATAAATACAATTTTTACTGACAAAACCTTGGTTCGAAAAGCATTGCGGCAATCTGATTTTTTTCACAATTGGGTTATTTTCGCAGTTTGCAATGAAAAACAAATTTTAAAAACAAAATTAGGCACGCCTTTGAAAAGAACAAAAAAAAATTGGTTGAAGTTTTTGAAAATTTAATTTGAGTGTTTGTGCGTGAAAAATTAATGGGGTAGTTAAACTTTTTCTGACCTATACTTTTTATGGTTTTATTCAAGGCGTTTTGTAATATTAAACATTTCTGTGAAATCAGTTTACCGTTTTCGAGATATTTACAAAAAATATAAATTTTTATGACGTCACAAACCTCGCCATGTGACCAACATTCTAAGATTTCTATTGGTTGAAAATTACCCAGATGAGTGAAAGATGGTCACCAAATTCATTAAGTACCTATCTTCCTTATTACGAGGTATCATATTACTGTTTGATATTTTAGAGTCCAAGATATATCTAAAAGAATATAAAGAACTAGGAATTATACTAATGAAATGCATTTACGACAAAATATGATTATAATTATAGGTACTTACTTTATTTGTTTAAAAGCTTCAATGTTTAATGTAACCAACCATTCCACAAGATTCCTCTGCTTTGGAGTCCGTTATTAAAAAATCACTTATCTAATATCAATTACAAATAACATAACAATAACATTGATTTTTAATAATCTAAATTAAAAAAAACATAACCCGAAAAAAAGAAACGTCAAAAAATCAATTCTTCTTCTTCTTCTCAACTAAAATTATAGATCAAGTGGTTTTAAAACTAAAATATTATAACGTGACGCCATCTATCGTAAGAATCTTAAACTAAACACACTGGCAACCATAGAAAAAGCTGGCAACGTTGTCAATAGCCTAGTGACGTAATTAGGAGATTTTTTTTTGTAAATATCTCGAAAACGGTAAACTCAATTGAAATTCCGATTTCACAGAAATGTTTAAAATTACAAAACGCCTTGAATAAAACCATAAAAAGTATAGGTCAGAAAAAATTTAACTACCCCATTAAGTTACAATAAATAATATTAGGTATATATTTTAATTATCAGAATATTAAACCTGTTTCTAAAAGGCAATCCTGTTTTACCTTTCCTTTTATAGGTACCAATAATACCTTTTTAGACTTTTGGAAAAAATTTAAAAAAAAAAATGAAATATTGCAGAGGAAATTGAGAGGAAAAAAAGACATTTGTGACAATAGGAATAAAAAAATTAAAAAACAAACTTTAGAGAATAACATTAATAACAGTTAGTGCTTGATATACATAAATTAAAACAAAAGGAGGGAGCTATACTCTAAAATTGCATGTCGAGAAAAATTGTACTAGAAAATGGGTATAAACTTGCAGGTGAAATTTTTAAACTTTTAGTACATTGAATATTCCTTGCCTGTGGAGCAAAACAAAATCGTGGCTACATCCTTGCTGGACATGGGGCAAGAATCCTTGATTTTCAAAAAGGGTAAATTAAACCCAATGAAAAAAATATGTATTCCTTTTATAATTAATTTTTTAAATAATTTATATTGAAAATTATACTGTTACCTTTAGGTATTTAGAAATAAAGCAAATTTTAAAATTTAACTGTTGCAGTTCTAGCCCAGATTTTTTTACAATGTGTATTTTATTTACAAAATTAAAATATTCTTTACAGATCATATTTTTAATTATTTGTTAGATAAATATTACAATTTTATGCTAAAAACAATTTGAACTCAAAATATAAGAAAATAGTTTCATACATGTACCTGTTTTTGCCTTATTTTATTATAAAATGTCTTTTAAACTTGTATTATTAACAAAAACTGTTAATAAATGTATATTCAATTTAAAATATGCTGTTGCCCTTTTGTTCCTTTATTTTATTTTATATATTTGCTAAACATAGTATATTTTTGGGCCCAAAAACGAACAATACTATACAATATTTAATACATACATCAGGGTGAGCCAAAAAAACTAACCTATCGGATTTATGGGTTAAAATGAACCTACATACCGAGAAAAAAATTTCCCTGCAAGGCAAAATTTTTTGCTCAATTTTAAAAGGTGTCGGTGAGCATTCTAAGTTTTCCATTGAAATAACACGTAAAAAAATCTTTTTTCATTAAAAAGACTATAACTTTTGAACCGTTTGAGATAAAATATTTACGTCGCGGATTCTTGTAGAGCATAAAATTTCCCAAAGAATCTATACCAGGATTATTTTTTTTAATTCAAAAATTCGTATGTTTAAAAGCTTTAAAAAGTGTAAAAAATCACTAAAACTGCAGTTATTTCAATGGAAAACTTAGAATGCTCACCGACACCTTTTAAAATTGAGCAAAAAATTTTGCCTTGCAGGGAAATTTTTTGCTCGGTATGTAGGTTCATTTTAACCCATAAATCCGATAGGTTAGTTTTTTTGGCTCACCCTAACAAACATTTTATTAATCTTACAGGAGAAATTTTAGAGAGTTAATTTTCTTCCAGCAATCCCCTTTAGAAAGAAGAGTCTCCTTAGCCTTTTTGTTGCTTCCTTTACCCAAAACAGAACAAGCTCATAATTTAAAAATTTTAAAGCAGGAAATAAGTACTTCCAACGTTGTTCATGATCTAAAATTTAAAATTGTTTAAAAGAATTAAGACAAATATTTTTTGAACACAATTTTGATTTTATTTTATATTTTTTTTGCCCTAGTTATTTATTTTAATTTATAAATTTAGTTTATTAATTTACAAATACAAAAAAATGTTATTTATATGTGCTTATTAATCATCATAATAGTATTTTTTTAAATTATCCAGGTATTTTATTGAAAAGAAAACATTAATGGAAGATATGCGTGTTTCTAATAATAATAAAATCTATCAATTTTTACCCAAATACATTGTTAGTGGTCATTCTTTTACAATGGAACTAAATAAACTAATAAATCAATTGATTTCAAGCAATCAGCTTTTGGCACAGACAGAGAAACAGAAGAGATATTTGATATAATAAACATAATAGTAATTTATGTTTAAAAAAATTTTATCTTTATTATAGATTTTTTATATACATTTACAAACAAAAATGATGTATTTTTATCCATATTTTAAATCAGTCGTTACCGACTGATAAATTATAGCAACCGATTTAAATGTTAGATGATTTTAATAGCCAAAAAGAATAGTATATTAAAGTACAAGTTGCAGAAGGCCACATATTCTCGCACGAATTCGAAATTTGGCCTCGAGCGACGAAGGAGCGAGTGGACGAACGAATGAGTGCGAGAATAGCCTTCTGCAACGTGTGATTTTAACTTTTATTTAGGTTTTTTTAATTGTTTTGTGGTCGTTGTTAGTTAGGGGATTTTTCTCGCAAAATGTCAGTTGGCAACACAAAATGACAATATTTGTTATCCTGCACAAGTACAACCTGAACTGCACTTTTTTACATTCAACTTAAAATTTTGCATTAAAATACATTGTTGGAGCAAACTTAATATTACAAAAACAATAATAAAGGCTTCATTTTCAATAAAAGTAATGAATTTGAGGTTATTAATCAGTTTGACATTTTGGGGGTACCAATACTTAAAAACTAAATGTTACCAAAAATCGTTTAAGAATGAGCTTCATTCTTCAACGATTTTGCGTGCGAGAATATGACATTCTTACATAAAAATCGAGAAAATCTATTAAACCCTGACTTATAGAGGAATTCATTAAATTTTCTAGGGTTAAAAGCAAATGTCACAAATGTCCATTATAACTTGATAAAATTTTAATTGTTTTATATCTAATTCAAAATGTCAATGTGTAAAAATGAACTTTTTAGAGGTAATAAAAAAGTTTTAA